AAGATCTGGAGGATGCCCCTGCTGAGGCATTGCCTCTGGAGTTTCACTGGTATCCCGTCTGGGACTCGGGACCTTTCCCCAGGAAGCTCCCTTGGCCTTTACCTAAACCTTTCTTGCCGCCACCTTTACCACCGTCACTTTTCTTACCACCACCTGTCTTGCCATCATTCCTCTTACCGTCTCCTTTTCCTCCGTAACCTGTTCCTCCTCCGTTTTTCCCTTTTCCGTATCCCGTTTTACCTTTGTAGAAACACTTATCACTAGGATGGTTGGTGCCACCGCAATGAACGCATTTTCCCTTACCCCCTGGATCGGCCTTGCCTCCAAAAGCGGACAAGTCCATCCTATCAGAGTTCTGTCCGGGATCTTTGGTGTCAAGGTAATTGACGATTGCCTGGCGTATCTGGGCATATGTTGCGTACGTGTCAGAATTCAGAAGCAAGTGGTCACCAAGCTTGCCCGGACACATGCTGATGAGAGCTGACGCCCTGATATCATCGTGGAAGGGCTGCGTTCCTGTTCGGTTTTCGTACTCTGACACCCGCTTCTCCCATTTTTCGATCGCAGACCTAAGTTCCGACCATTGCACTCGAGGTGGGTTCATGAGCTGTTTCAAAACATTCCGGCGGCGGCCGGCGGACTGAGGATCGAAGTTCTTCACTAAACGACGCCACGCTTCAAATCCCCGTCCGTCCGGGACGTTTTTGAGGATGTCCAAAGCTTCGCCTTCAACCAAAGACGCGAGTGCTGTGTACGTGTTAGTGCTCATGGTTTCTAGGCTATCTAAAGATACTCCTAACATGTGCAATGCAAGATCGTCATTTGTAGTGATCTCGTCTGCTTGGCCACATGCCCAATCACATGCCGTGCGAATGCCAGGGTGTACGGAAGCAATGTAATTCAAAAACTTGAAACTGAAAGTTGGCCATTCAGACCGTTCTGACTTGAAAGCTGATGGTTTTCCTATCTGCCTAGTGTCAACCAGAACGCCGTCTCGCGAACTTCTTGCTTGGGTGATTTGTGCGCGCAGTTCATCGTTCCGTGCCTTGTGCTCAATTTCTTTGTCCCTTGCTGTTTGCTGGACTGCGTTCAACTGATTGGTCAAAACGTTGTTTTGCTGACGAACCTCGCCTAAGTCAGCAGTCAACCTCGCAACATTTTGTGAAACAGTCTGCAGTTCCTGGAGTGCTGCAGCTAGTTGTTCTGCCGTCGCCGCCATTCCTCGATTGGGCGTGCGACTGAAAACCAAACAATTCAAACCTCAAAGTACGGATGTAAGAGGGTCCTAATGGATGCTACGCTACGCTACCATGACAGAATACTATGTTATTTTGAGACTCCTCAATGCCTGCGGTCGCACGCTCCCAACCTTCTCCTACTCTGCTGCTCCCACAACGTGCTAAAATAATATAACCTCAACAATCATAAACAGCATCAGAATCATCATTATGCTGATCATCCCCTTCATCCTCATCCTCATCGTCATCCTCCTCGTCATTATCAGCATCATCATCGTCATCGTCATCGTCATCATTACTATCCTCATCCTGATCTTGCACTGGTCCCATCATACCTCTTCGTCGTCTCTGCGATATCATCATTATCCTCCTCGTCGCCCTCCCCCTCCTGATATTATTCCTCCGCCTTCTCCTCATCCTCCTCCCCTGCGTTATCCTCCGATCGGTCGCTCTTCACTGCAACGGATTCGCACCTGCAGGGCACCACCACCAGCGCCACCGAGAGCAGAAACATGCATCCCCAGAAGACCTCTGACGACCCACGGGCTGCGCGCACCTTTGGCGCACACCGCCCAGAGACGAGCTCGAGAAATCGATCGCTGCCCGGAGACAGCTTCCAGACGTTCCCAAAGGGTCAGCGGATGCGGTATGAGCCTAACGAGTGCCGTCGCTGATTCCCCTGCGCTGGAGATCGAAGTCGAGTAGGTAATGTCCCAGCCCCGCTCCCCTCCAGACGCAAGCACAGCTCCTCCTCGGCCTTGTGGTCGGCACCACGCCGCCGGCTCCTCCTGCCCGTCACGCCGCAGAGGAGGAGAAGGAGGGGGAGGGGGAGGGGGAGGGGGAGGGGAGGAGGAGGAGGAGGAGGAGGAGGAGGAGGAGGAGGAGGAAGCGGATCCCTAGGAGGAGGGAAGGAATGTGTTGAGAGGAGAGTCGTGGAGGCATATACGCGGGAGGGAGATGGAGGGAGAGGTAGGAAGGAGGGGGCTCGCCACACCCAATCTTTCTGCGTGCCTGATGTGAATGGTTACCTACTTATGCTGCCTGGTACGGCCACTGCTTACACTTCGGCCTGCTGCTGCTTCTCCGTGCTCGGCATCGCAGTCGCAGTCGCCGACCTCCCTCCCGTCCAAGCCAGCAACACCCGCCATCACGATCGCCCTGCGCACTGTAACCACCCGTTTCGGATCGAAATTCTAGCATTGAGGATCTTACTATCAAAATGATCCATACGATCGAGGAGAGATTCTGCGATCCAGACTGCAGCTCGAGGTGCTGACTTAAAGTGCGATCAACCGTTACCTGAAAGCCCTGATCAAAATCTTGCCCCTCACCAGCATAATCAAGTTCGTTCCTGACTGCCGTCCATATCAAAGTACTCATCTCTGATTTTCCCGACTCCCGTCCCCTCCATCCCCATCCGCTTTCTCCCATGATCCTGTCCCGCCGTCATCCTGCCCTTTACGCTTCCCGTCTTCCTCCCTCCCCCTCGATCTGCCCATGTCCCCCACCCCCCCAAGCCCCCCTCCCTTCTCTCCCCTCGAATCCAGCGTGCCCCAGAGTCCGGGAGGGGAGGGGGGAGGAGGGAGGGGGAGCAGGAGGAGGAGAAGAAAAAGGAGGAGGAGAAGAAAAAGGAGGAAGAGGAGGAGGAGGAGGAGGAGGAGGAGGAGGAGGAGGAGGAGGAGGAGGAGGAGGAGGAGGAGGAGGAGGGGGGGGGTCACACCCGTCCTTCCATAGCGAAACCCCTTGCTCTGCCTGCCTGCCAGCACCATCGGGGCTGGCCAGACCGGCGAGGGGGGGCGGGGAAGAGGGGGGAGAACAGGAGCCAGGAGCACCAACAGAACACTGCAGGGTGCTCTCGCTCAGCCCACGCATGCGCAAGACCAGTCTTGACTGTGGCGTCGGCCGCATAACACCGTCTGGAGGGAAAGACAAGTGTGACCATGACAAAGACGGAGCGCGGAAACGTCGGTGTTGATCTTGGTCACCGTCCATCTCTGTCACCGTCGATTCGTAGATCATCCTCGTGAATCGGCGACGGCGGGCATGGACCATGACCAAGACTGGCGTCGACGAGATCCCGCGGCATCTTGGTCATGGTCATCACGTTTCCTCGTCCTCCTCCTCCTCCTCCTCCCCCTCCTCCTCCTCCTCCCCCTCCTCCTCCTCTTTCCTCCTCCTCCTTCCTCCTCCTCCTCCTTCCTCCTTCCTCCTCCCTCGACCGTGGGCGGGTCCTCTTGTTCTTGTGCGGGCGCTCCAGCGAGAACTGCAGGGGCGCGCTGACGGACCAGAGGCTGCCCAGGTCCCCGTCCAGGTCCAGGGCCTGCGGGGCACGGAGGAGTGGCGCGGCGGGCACGGAGGACGGCAGGCCTCCGAAGGAATTAGCGAACACGCACGCCGCATTCCTATGTCAATGCCCTCCCCCCATTACAGTCGGCCTTGATTGGACAGGACGCGCGGGAGGACACAAGGCCCTTCCGAGGGCCAAATCGCCAGCGGAGCGCAGGGGGCACGGGTCGCGAGACACAGGGCACGAGGGTGCCCTTGATTTGGCAGTGTCGACCTACTAATCCGGGCCGACGGTATCAATGTTGGCGGTGAGTTGAATGAGCCGCACTTCGACCGCAGTCTTCCCCGCGCTTGCCAGCTTCGAGTTTGGGGGGGCGGGGGAGTGTCCACTGATTGCTTCCCTCTACCAGAGCGTGGAGGTCGAGGGCGACCAAGGGGGGGGGAAGGGCACCGGAAGGGAAGAGAGAGGAGGGGGAGGCAGAGCGGGAACAGGAGCAAAGGGGCATGGCAAGGAGGCGAATCATGAACCAAACAGCACTGCCTGCTTGACCCCTAGCCACGTATGCCAGAGGGGGAAGCAGCGAGGAGGAGACGAGGAGGAGGGGCGGGGGGGGGATGAGGACGAGGAGGAGGCGGAAGAGGGGGTCCGGGTGTCCGGTGAAGATGCTCCAGCAAGGAGCCATTGCAGCCCTCGATGCAGGATGCAGGCCAGACGAGCCGATGCTGCGCGGACTGAAAATGGTATCGCACTTCTCTGGGACGACAGCCAGAACGGCGGGCGCAGAGTGCGAGCCAGCACGAGAAGCCGCCACCAGAGGGAAGGTGGGGCTCCTGCCACCAGCTGGGGGGTCCAGAGCCGATTCGAGATATCTGCGGATACCTCCGAATTTCTATGTTCACGTCATTGTCTCTTCTCCTGTAGGAGAAAGAGGCGGGGGGAGAAAGGGTGCGGCCCGGCAGGGCAGGGGAGCGAGGGAGGCACAGCGGGAACACGAGCGGCAGGGAAGCGGGGAAGGACGGGGGGGGGCGAGGAGAAGAGGGAGAGGAGGATGAGGAACAGGAGGAGGGCGAGGAGCAGGAGGACCAGAGTAAACCCAAGGCTCATCAATGATGCTGGATTACACCCTCCTTCCAAGCTCCCTCTTCATAGGCCACTACAGCGGGTCATTTCCACTGACGGAATTGCCCCGCTGAAGAACAACCGTTCGAAAATCGTGAAGCGTGCCAACATACCGTTCTCAGGACTTCAACGCCACGATTTAACCTCACTGTTACGTCTTGGCGATCCTGAATCGTACCAGAACACCGTTCCTGGGACTTCAACACCGCGAATCAACGTCACTGTTGCGCTCCGACAACCCTGAGTTTTTCCTCAACACCATGTCTGATACGTTAACCATACAAACCAATGAAACTTGTGCAAATTGTTAAACCGAATGCGTGCGGCGCATGTGCGAGAGCCACATATTGAAAACGACCGCCTCCATCTGTGCAATTCCTGCAACTGTTGAAAACGAATGCGCACGGCGCTTGGGCGAGCACCACGTTTTAAAAACGACCCGCCCACAATCTGTGAAGCCTTTCCAACGTCTGAAGACGAATACGCGCGGCGCTAAGCCGAGAAACACATGTCGAAAACCTCCCGCCCTCAATCTACTAAAATTATTCTGAACGTTTGCAACGAATGTGCGCGGCGCTAAAGCGAGAGCCACATTTTGAAAACTAACCGTCCGCAATCCGTGAAACCTTTGCAACATTTGAGGACTAATGTGCACGGCATTAAGTATACAACCACAATTTGAGAACCACCCGCCCACAATCCGTGAAATTCTTCCAACTTTTGAACACGAATGTGTGCGGCGCTAAAACGTGAGCCACATTTTGAAAAGCAGCTGCCCTCAACCCGTCAAACTCTTTAGAATGATGAAAACAAATGCGCGCGGCGCTGGGGTGATATCTGCATCTGGAAGACGAGCCGCCCTCAATCCGTGAATCTCTGGCAAATGTTGAACACGAGTGCGCGCGGCGCCAATCGTTAGGAAACCGAACCACCCTGAATCCGTGAAATTGTTGCAAATATTGAACTACTGTGCGCGGCGCTAAATCGAAAGCCACAATTGGAAAACGACCTGCCCTGGACTGGTAAAACTTCTGCCACTGTTTTTTAAGGTATGTGCGCGGCGCTAAGGCGAGAGCCACATATTGAAAAGGAACCACCCTCAATCCGTGAAACGAGTGCAAATGTTGAAAACGAATGCGAGCGGAGCCAAGGCGATAGCTTCATTTGGAAAACGAACCGCCCTGAACCCGCCAAACTCTTGCAGTGTTTCAAAAAAAATGTGCGCGGTGCCAAGGCGAAAGCCACATTTTGATCACCCCGCCCTCCATCTGCGAAACGGTTGTCACTTTTCAAGCTTCAGGATCACAAATAGTGAGGAAATATCCGGCGAAACGCGCGGCCCGCATTTTCGACAGAAAGGAGTTATCTATAAGCAACTGGAACGGCGGATGATGATGAGAAGGAGGAGGACCAGTGTAAACCAAAAAGAGGCATCAACGACGTTGGAATAAGCCCTCCCCCCAAGCTCACTCTTCACAGGCCCCTGCAACGGATCATTTCCACTGAAGGAACTGCCTCGTTGAAAGACACCGCTTAAAGACCCTGAAGCACGCCAAAACCTAAGTCTCGGGACTCCAACGCTACGGATCAAGCTGACTGTTGCGTCTTAGCGATCCTGAATCGTGCCAGAACGCCACTCATGGGACTTCAACACCACGAATCAACGTAACTGTGGCGCCCTCATGCTCCTGAGCTTTTCCCTGACACCATTCCTGGCATGTTGAGTGTGAGAACCCCTTAAGCTTCTACAAACATTTAAAATGAATGCGCGCGGCGCTAAGGCGAGAGCCAAATATTCAAAAGGAAACCGCCCTCAATCCGTGAAACGATTGCAAATGTTCAAAACGGATGCGCGCGGCGCTAAGGCGAGAGCTTCATTTGGAAAACGAACCGCCCTGAATCCGTGTGAAACTCTGGCAAAGTTTTTAAAACGAATGCGCGGCGCTAAGGCGACAGCCACATGTTGAAAACCACCCGCCCTCGATCCGTGAAACTCTTGCAAAGCTTTTAAAAACGAATGTGTGCGGCGCTCAGGCAAGAGCCACATGTTGAAAACCGTCCGCACTCAATCCGTGAAACTGGGTCATAAATCGTGAGGAAGTCTTAGGCGAAACGCCGGGCCCGCCCTAAAAACAGGCCTGTGGGCGCGACAGGGAGAAGTTATGTATAAGGAAAATGAATGGAGGGGGGGATGGCAGTATCCGAAGGATACAATTGCCAGCAGCTCGAAGCTCGAAGGGGAAGGAGAAGGAGGAGGAGGAGGAGGACGAGGAGGAGGGGAAGGAGGGGGGGGGGAAGGAACGGACGTGGCGCGGCGTGGCACGCAAGCTGGGACCCCGTGGGGCGGGGGCGGGCGCAAGGGGCAGCGGGTGCAGCAGAAGCAGCCCTGGGGGCGGGCGCACGAGCAGGAGCAGCGGAGGCGACAGCGGCAGCGGCGGCGGCAGCGGCAGCGGCAGCGATAGCGACAGGGGCGAGGAGGGGGGCCCACCCCCTCCTCCTCCTCCTGCTCCTCCTCCTCCTCCTCCTCCTCCTCCTCCTCACCCTCACCCTCCTCTCCCTCCATGCCTGCTCCTTAAACAAGTCCTCCGTGTCGCACCCCGAGATGTGTCGGTAGAGCGTTTCAGGGGGGTCACCTGACATTTGCTCACCACTTATGATCCTGAAGCTTAAAACAGGAATGTGGCAACAGTTTCATGGATGGAGGGCGGGTGGTTTCCAAAATGAGGCTCTCGCCTTAGCGCCGCGCACACTCGTCTTAAAAAGGTACACGAGGCAAGAGTTTCATAGATGAAGGGTGGGTCTTTTTGAAAATGCGGCCCTCGTCTTAGCGACGCGCAAATTCATCCTAAGTCATTGCAAGAGCTTCACGGATGAAAGGCTGCCCCGTTCCAAAATGTGGCTCTCGCCTTAGCGCCGCGTGCATTCGTCTTAAGAGCCTGCAAGAGCTTCACGGATGGAGGGCGGTACCTCTTCAAAATGTGGTTTTCGCATTCGCCCCGCGCACATGTGTCTTAAGAGTTTGCAGCAAGTCCCAGGCTTCTCATGGTCCGCGTCCCAGAAATGGCGTTCTTGAACGATGTGGGACTGTCAGGGCCCAACAGTTACGTTGAATGGTGGCGTTGAAGTCCCAGGAGTGGTGCTCGGGCACGGTTCAGGATTTTCAAAAGCTTGTCGTCCAACGGGGCACTTCCCTCAGTGGAAATGAATCGTTGTGTGGGGCCTGTTGAAAAGGAGCTCGGATGGAGGGTTTACTGCCACATCGTTGATGAATCTTGGGTTTACACAAGTCCTCCTCCTTCCCCGCTTTCGCCTCCTCCTCCTCCCCCTCCTCCTCCTCCTCCTCCTCCTCCTCCTCCTCCTCCTCCTCCTCCTCCTCCTCCCCCCCTCCTCCTCCTTCTCCTCCTCATCCATTCCTTTTCCTTATGAACAACTTCTCCCTGTCGCACCCCAGGACGCGTCGGTAGGGCGGTCAGGGCGTTTCGCCTGAGACTTCCTCACCATTTGCGAACCCTAGGCTTTCAAAATTTTGCGCCGCCAACACTCGTCTTCAACATGCAAGAGCTTCACTGTTAGAGGTTGGGTCTTTGGGAAAATATGGCTCTCGTCGGAGCGACGCGCACATTCGTCTTACAAAATTGCAAGAGCTTCACGGATGAAGGGCGGCTCCTTTCCAAACTGTGCATCTCGCCCCAGCGCCGCGCACAGTCGTCGCAAGTGTTTGCAAGAGCTTCACGGATGGAGGGCGGTCCCTTTTCAAAATAGGGTTCTGGCCTTCGCGCCGAGCACATTCGTCATAAAAGTTTGCAGCAACTTCAAGGCTTCCCGTGTTCAACGTCCCAGAAACGCCCTTCTGGAATGATGTGGGACTGTCAGAGCGCAACAATTACGTTGACTCGCTCTGTTGAAATCCCAGGAACGGTGTTCTGGCACGATTCAGGACCATCGAAACGCAACAGTAAGATTGATTCGTGGCGTACTCTGGCACGGCTCAGGATTTTGAAACGGTTGCCTTCCAATGGGGCACTTCCCTCAGTGGAAACGAAACCTTGTATGGGGCCTATGGGAAGGTTTATCGCAATATCGTTTACACTGGTCCTCCTCCTCCCGCGCTTTCGCCCCCTCCTCCTCCTCCCTCTCCTCCTCCCCCTCCTCCTCCTCCTCCTCCTCCTCCTCCTCCTCCCCCTCCTCCTCCCCCTCCTCCCCCTCCTCCTCCTCGGGAACGGAAGATCCAGGTTTCGGCCGCTGCGGCCTTCTGATGCCCCAGGGGGCCCCTGCAGGCCCCCCACGACCTCCCGGGAAGACCTCTGAACACGGGCCAGGGGCGCCCGAATGCCCCCGGGCTCGACGGAGCAGGCGCATCGGGCTGAGAGCACAGCCCAGAGTGGACGGGGGGCGAGAGATGAGGAAGCAACTGCTGGGAGGTCTTCGTCGGAAAGATTACTGTCGGGGCGTTGACCTAAGGAACCAGAAATAAGGAACGAGGCCCCTTTTCTCCAGAAGTTCAACTTCGACTTCCAATCGAAAATGCAAGGATAAAAGGGGGGCAAAATGTGAAACAATGAAGGAACACGGAGCCCATCCCCAACGAAAAGGGTTCCTTATTCAGAGCCCCGACTGTACGGAGGAGTAAGCCCCATTGCGGGGCTGTTACGCATGAGTGGGCTTCGGATTCAGCGGGATTGAGCCGGATCAAGCGGGATGAAGCGGGATCGAGCGGGATCAAGGGGGACTAAGCCGGATTAAGCCAGACTTCGGACCAGGGCAAAATCAGAATTGGACCTCCCAGGAGTTGCATCCGAAGAGAGAGGTGGACAGAGACGAACCGAAGGGACACACACGCGGCTCCAAGGCAAGCGAGGCCCGTCCTCTCCCGTCGTGTTCACGACCGCGGCCGGGAGGGCCATCGCGTTCGGGAAGTAGAAGTGGCCAACGACCTTGCAAACAAACAGCACCATCGACTTACAGCAGGGGCCCGTCCGCAAGAAGCCTCGCACAAGAAACCCAACCCTGAGACCCCAGGACGTCCACGGACCTTTGGTGTGGGAACGTCACGCTTTCCACGCCAGAAACCATGGAAACCCCTGAGACCCAGGGCACCCCGGAGGCAAGCAGGGTGCTTCTCGGCATGGGCCCCCACTGCAGGTCGGCAAGCCCCGCACCTCACACGCCACGCGGTGCTGCGACGTGCGACCACCTCCGCGCCCTCGCCCTCTGGCCCGGGCCACGACGCGCGAGGCGCGATTCTCTCCGCGCTGCGGTGGGCGACCAAACAGGCCGGGTGCCGTGGGCGAGCCACCACGCCCGACCCGTGAGAGTTTTTTTTGACTCGCGGGTCGAGAGCGCACCTCTTCCGGTCGAAGCTAAGCGGGCCGCGCGAAGCTTGAATCAACGCCCGACCCGTGAGGAGGCGACCAGAAACTTCTCGTGCTCGCTGCCGTCGCAGGGCCGCGAGAGAGACCGCGCGTCCTGGCTTTGTTCGCCGCAGGCGCACCGATGTGGCGGCTCCAGGAGGGGGCCGCAGGGCGGCTCCAAGAGAGGCCCCCGGGGGGGCACCCACGGAGCACCCGGGCTGGCAGTCGTCGCTGGGGGGCTGCTCGCGCCGACCCCCGGCGCGTCGACTGCCCGGCGCCCCCACGTCTGCTGCAGTACGCAACGCTCGCCAGTGCTCTCTGGACGGATGCGCTGGAGAGGGGGGCACCTCTTTTTTCCTCGCGGGCGCAAGCGGAAGCGCAGGCGCCGAGCAGAAAGGTCCGGGCCACGGGCCGATCTAATGAGGGGAGGTGCTACGCGCGAGCCTAAATGCACAGCGAACGAGCGCGGGATCAGAACCTACCGCCGGGGAGGCAGCAACTGGAGGGGGCACGTGAAACCTCGACAAATCTCCATCACCGACAAAGCGGCACGGACATCCGCCCATGGTATTTACGTGACGGCGATGCTGTAGTGCTTCCAAACATGCGTATCCATATCCGACGCTACTTGTACTGAAGGCAGTGACGATATATCAGCTACAGCGGCTGGAAGCATCGGGTGCGCTTCGCCCGTGCAGGAACTATACCTGTATTGGAACCTGGCGCATGACGCGGAACAAGAGCCACACTTCAATCAATGGGGGGGAGGAGAAGAGATGAGAAAGAGGAAGAAGGATAAGCTAGGTGCACCCTCGCCACATCTCAGATTCTAGCCTGTTCACCCATCACGTTCTGTTGCGTTTTTTTTCTATCCGCCAACGTGTGTCATAGCGGATATTGCAACCAAGGACACAATCGTATTATGCGCCATCGGAAAAGGTGAGGTGCGTACATTGGAAGAGGAAGTGGCGGATGAAAAGGAGCATGAGCAGGAGGAAAAGGAGGATGAGGAGGAAGGAGGAGGGAGGAGAGTCAGGACGAACAGCAGCAGCAGAAGCTGGAGTTGAAGAAGCGGGAGAAACTGGAGGACCAGGCGAAGGCGGAGGAGGTGCAAGTAGGGGGGGAGACAATGATGAGGAAAAGCTCGGATCCAGAGAAGAGCACCGCGCTGGGGCGAGAGAGCCATTCAGACCGACGGGAGGAACGCGCCAATTCCAAAATGCGGCCCACGCTGCAGGGGCAGCACCGTCGTGAAGGACCGAAAACGACAGGAGTGCAAAAAAAACAAGAAATACCAACGTTCGAAGCCCTGTGACTTCTTTGTACGCCAAAGCCAGAAACATGTAAATGCAAAAAACAAAAAAACGCAGAAGGGGGCGGCCGACTCCCCAGAAGAGAGCAGCAGTCAGATGGAGCAGCTGCGGAAAAAGGAAAACAAGAGGAGAAGTGGGGCGGACAAGCAAGGAGGGGGAGGACGGGGGCGAAGGATCGGGGATGGGCAGAACCCCCAGTTAGCAAAACGTGGTTCAGTGGAAAGGACCTCGGGCCCAGACCTGGCGGGCGCAAGCCTGGAAAACGACGGCCGCAGCGCCCTCTCGAGAACCGAAAAATAAGCAATTCACCAGTCGACGTGACGGGGTGGGGGCTGTCCACCCCCGGAGAGAGGGAAGAAATGACAGGCTGGCTGGCTGGGGGTGGATCCTCGCGAGGGGTGTGCCAGAATCGGGCCAAAGGACGCATGCGGGCCCTGCCACTAAGACCTTCGGAAAAGCTCCGTGTGGGGGGCCAGGGCCACGATCCTTGTGAGGGTGTGCCGAAATTGGGCGTCGGTGGGCCCTCGATTGGTGTGGGTGTGGGTGTGGGTGTGGGTGTGGGCGTGGGTGTGGGTGTGTGGGTGTGGGGGGGGGGGACACGGGCACCCAGTGCAACCCTCCACCACCAATAACAACAATCATCTTAAGACTGTCCACCCTTCTCTGCTCGAGTGTTGTCCCACATGTATTTCCCAGACCCTCGATACCCGCCCTCTTCGTCCTCGATCGTACCCCTTTTGGGGGGTATATATTTCTTCCCTGCAGGCCGGGACCCCGCAAGCGGCAGGGCGGCCGCGGGCCGTCGGACTGGCCAGCGGCAGCGCTGATCGGCGGCAACCCGACCCCAAGAGGGACGGACAGGGGACCGACCACGACGACGACGACGACGACGACGACGACGACGACGACGACGACGACGACGACGACGACGACGACGGCGACGGCGACGACGGCGACGACGGCGACGACGGCGACGACGACGACGACGACGACGACGAGCGAACGAGAGCGAGAGCGAGAGCGACAGCGAGAGCGACAGCGGGGCCACGAAGGGCAGGAAGGGGGCCACAAAGGGCGACAGCGGGGCCACAGAGGGCTGCAACGGGGCCACGAAGGGCGCGAACGAGCGGGGGCCACGAAGGGCAGATAATGCGGGGCCACGGAGGGCAACGACGGTGCCATTGAGGGTAGCAACGGGGCCACGAAGGGCAGCGAGGTGGCCACAAAGGGCGACAGCGGGGCCAGCAAGGGCATGCAGATGGGGCCACGACGGGCGCGCACGAGCGGGGGCCACGAAGGGCATACGTGTATTGAGCCGCAGAGGGCAAGGACGGGTCCACTGAGAGAAGCAACGGGGCCACGAAGGGCAGCGAGGGGATCACGAAGGGCGACAGCGGGGCCACGAAGCGAATGCATCATATGGGGACACGACGGGCGCGAACGAGCGGGGGCCACGAAGAGCATACATACATGGGGCCACGAGGGGCAGCAACGGGAACACAAAGGGCTGCAACGGGGCCACGAAGGGCAGCGAGGGGGTCACGAAAGGGTGCAACGGGGCCACGAAGGGCAGCGATGCCACGAAAGGGTGCAACGGGGCCACGAAGGACAGCAAGAAGGTCACGAAGGGCTGCAACGGGGCCACAAAAGGCAGCGAGGAGGCCACGAAGGGCATACATATATGGGGTCACGAAAGGCAGCGAGGGGGCCACGAAGGGCTGCAACGGGGCCACGAAGGGCAGCGAGGGGATCACGAAGGGCTGCAACGGGGCCACGAAGGGCAGCGAGGGGGCCACGAAGGGCTGCAACGGGTCCACGAAGGGCAGCGAGGGGGCCACGAAGGGCATACATGCATGGGGCCACGAAGGGCTGCAACGGGGCCACGAATGGCTGCAACGGGGCCACGAAGGGCAGCGAGGGGGCCACGAAGGGCTGCAATGGATCCACCAAGGGCGGCGAGGGGGCAACGAAGGGCTGCAACGGGGCCACGAAGAGCAGCGAGATCCCAATTCCTAAGTAAGCTGTGAGGGAGTCCTAAGCGTGAGCGCGACTCGTGGGTGCCTGAGTGTCGGGAGCGCGGCGCTTGAGTAAATTGCAGGGAATGGTAACGCAAGAGCGCGGTTCTGGAGTAAATTGCAAGCCAGTCTCCAGCGAGAGCGCGACTCCAGAGCGCCGAGGGGGCGATTCCTGAATAAAGCGCAAGGAAGTCCCAAGCGAGAGCACGATCCCTGCGCAAAATGCAATGAAGTCTCAGGCGGAAGCGGTGGTCCTGGCTATGTTGCGAGGAAGTGTCCGGCGGGAGCCGCTGCTTTTTGTAATCCGGAGCCTATAACGCAGCTTGAGCCGAGTCACTTTCTCTGATAAACCGCGGTGCGAGCCCCAGGGGCAAGCACTTCAATTGAAAAGCGCAATAGTTGCCAGAGGGGGGATCAACAAAAATTATTCTTCAGCAGCGAGAGTTCAATAGTTACGACAACAACGACAACAACAGCAACAGCAACAGCAACAGCAACAGCAGCAACAACAAGAACAACAATAAATTTAAGACTGCCCACCCCTAATCTGCTCACGCGCCAATCATTACGTATATCCCAAACCCTCGGTACCCGCCCTCGTCGTCTTCGATCTCACCCCCTTGGGTGTATATATTCCTTACCTGCCACGTACACGTAGTGCAGTCCCTAAAACAAGGAAAGAGAAGACGGGTTGACGGGGGTGGGAGAAGAATGAAGCACGAGAGAAATAGCAGGAGGGGGGCAGGGAGCAGAAAACAAGTGGTAGAACAAGACGGGCAGATCGGGTGGGCAGACCCATAGCGGGCAGGTCGGGAAGGCGGGCCCAGACGACCAGATCGAGCAGGCGGGTTGCTGAAGCGTGGGTCCTGCATGAATCGCGAGGAAGTCCCGAGCGATGGCGCGATTCCAAAGTAAGTCGTAAGAAAAGCCAAAGCGAGAGCGTGATTCCTGAGCGCTGAGGGCGCATCGTCTGAATAAACTGCGAAGAAATCCCACGCGAGAGCGCGATTCGTATGCAAGTTGTAAGGAAGTTCTGCGCGAGAGCCCAATGTTTTGGAATCAATTGTGAGAAAGTCTCAGGCGGGAGCCAATGTTGTTGTTGTTGTAAACTGGGGGCCGACAACACAGTTTGAGCCCCAGGATTCCCTGATAAATAACAGGGTGTGAGCCCTGGAGGAAGCATTTCAATTGAAAAATACAAAAATTCAACAACCACAACAACAACAACAACAACAACAACAACAACAACAACAACAACAACACACACACACAACACACAACAAACAACAAACAACAAACAACAAACAACAAACAACAAACAACAAACAACAAACAACAAACAACAAACAACAAACAACAAACAACAAACAACAAACAACAAACAACAAACAACAAACAACAAACAACAAACAACAAACAACAAACAACAACAAACAACAAACAACAAACAACAAACAACAAACAACAAACAACAAACAACAAACAACAAACAACAAACAACAACAACAACAACAACAACAACAACAACAACAACAACAACAACAACAACAACACCGCCGACAACAACAATAACCACAAAAACGACAATAACAACAAAAACAAGAACAACAACAACCACAATCACAACAACAAAAGCAACCACAACAACAACCAAAACCACAACCGCGACCACAACCACAATCACAAACACAACCACAACCACAACCACAACAACAACCATAACCACACTGACAACCACAACCACAACAACAACCAACATCCTCCTCCTTCAACTCCTCCGCCTCCTCCTCCTCGTCATCATCGTCATCCTCATCCTCATTATGATCATCATCATCATCATCATCATCACCACCACAATCACCATCACAGTCACCATCACCACCATCATCATCAGAATCGTCACCACCACCATTATCACCATCACCATCACCATCGCCATCACCATCATCAGAAGCATCAGCATCAGCATCAGCATCATCATCATCATCGGCAGCATCATGATCAGCTCAGCATCATAATCATAATCATCATGACCACCACCACCACCACCACCACCACTCTTCCTCGCCATCCTCCTCCTCTTCCTCCTTCGTCCTCGGCCCTCCTCCTCCTCCTCCTCCTCCTCCTCCTCCTCCTCCTCCTCCTCCCCTGACTTCCGTCGTCGTGACGTCTGCACCACGGGGGCTGCTGGGGACCTCCGACCCCTCCCCCAAGGCAGGGCCGGCACGCCATCCTGCGCCGCTGTTTCCTGGCGATCCTCGGCCAAGGGGGGAGGCCCGGCCGAGCCCCGCGCCAGGCGGCGGGCGACGCCCCCCGCCTCCGCGTGGGCCCTCGCCGCGCAGAGCCCCCGGGTCACCGCGGCCTCGAGCTCCTCGGAGGCCGCTCCGCAGCCCGACGGGGCCCACCTCCGCCTCCTCCTCCTCCTCCTCCTCCTCCTCCTCGTCGTCCTCCTCCTCCTCCTCCTCCTCCTCCTCCTCCTCCTCCTCCTCCTCCTCCGCCTCCTCCTCCTCCATCCCTTCTCCTTAGGAGTAACTTCTCCCTGTCGCACCCCGAGGCCACTTTTTAGGGCGGGCTGGGCGCTTCGCCTAAGAATTCCTCACCTCACAAGCTTAAAAATGGCAAGAGCTCAACTGATGGAGGGCGGGTCGTTTTAGAAATGTGGCTCTCGCACTATCGCCGCGTACATTCGTTCTAAAAAATTGCAAGAACTTCACGGATTGAGGGCAGGTGGTTTCCAAAATGTGGCTACCGCCTTAGCGCCGCGCACTTTCGTTTCAAAAATGTGCAAGAGTTTCACGGATTGAGGGCGGGTGGTTTTCAAAATGTGAGTCTCGCGTTATCGCCGCTCACATTCGTTCTAAAAAATTGCAATTTCACGGACTGAGGGCGGGTCGTTTTCCAAATGTGGCTCTCGCCTTAGCGCCGCGAACATTCGTTTGGAAGTTTGTCCGTCCTTCACGGATGGAGGGCGGGTGATTTTCAAAATGTGGCTCTCGACTGAGCGCCGCGCACACTCGTTTTGAACATGTGCAAGAGCTTCGTGGATTGAGGGTTGGTCATTTTCAGAATGTTGCTCTCGCCTTAGCACCGCGCATATTCGTTTTTTTATTGCAAAGCATTTCGCGGGTTGAGGGCGGTTCATTTTTGAAATGTGGCTCTCGCCTTAGCGCCGCGCACATTCGTTGTAACAACTTGCAATTGCAAGAGTTCACGGGTTCCCATGATGAACGTACCAGAAATAGTGTTTTGGAAGGGTTCAGGATTATGCGGGTGTAACAGTTATGTTGATTCGCGGTGTTGAAGTCCCAAAATTAGCGTTCTGGCACGATTCCAGATCGTCAGGACGAAGCAATCAGGTTGATCCGTGGCGTGGAAATCCCGAGAACAATGTTTTGGTATGATTCAAGGCATTCAAACAGCTGTCTTCAAACGAGGCAGTTGCCTCAATGGGAATGAACCGCTGTAGGGGCCTATGAAGACGGAGCTTGGAAGGAGGGCTAATTCAAACATCGTTGATGACTCTTGAGCTTACACTGGTCCTCCTCCTCCTCCTCCTCCTCCTCCTCCTCCTCATCATCATCATCATCATCATCAGCATCAGCATCAGCATCAGCATCAGCATCATCATCAGCAGCATCATCAGCATCATCATCACCAGCAGCATCATCATCATCATCGTCATCGTCATCATCAGGCAGCATCAACATCATCATCATCATCATCAGCAGCATCATCATCAGCATCATCGTCATCATCATCATCATCATCATCATCACCATCACCATCATCAGCATCATCATCATCATCATCATCATCATCATCATCATCATCATCATCATCATCATCATCATCATCATCATCATCATTATCATCATAGTCCTCAGCTTCCTCTTCCTCCTCCTCCTCCAACTCCTCCTCCTGTGCCTCCCCCTCCTCCTCCTCATCATCCTCCTCCTCCTCTTCCTCCTCCTCCTCATCACCCTCCTCCTCCTCCTCCTCCTCCACGCCCGCCTCCTCCTCCCTCCTCCTCCTCCTCCTCCTCCTCCTCCTCCTCCTCCTCCTCCTTCTCCTCGTCCGACTCCTACTCCCCCTCCTCCTCCTCCTCCTCCTCCTCCTCCTCCTCCTCCTCCTCCCCTCCTACCTGCTCCTCCTCCTCCTCCTCCTCCTCCTCCTCCTCCTCCTCCTCCTCCTACTCGTCAGTATCATCAGCATCAGCATCAGCATCATCAGCATCAGCAGTATCATCATCATCATCATCATCATCATCATCATCATCATCATCATCATCATCATCATCAGCAGCAGCAGCATCATCAGCATCAGCATCATCATCAGCATCAGCATCAGCATCAGCATCATCATCAGCATCATCGTCATCATCACGAGCATCATCATCAGCAGTAGCAGCAGCAGCATCATCATCACCAGAATCAGCACCAGCATCATCATCATCATCATCAGCATCATCATCATCATCATCATCATCATCATCCGCGTCAGCATCAGCATCAGCATCAGCATCAGCATCAGCATCAACATCAGCATCATCGTCACCATCAGCAACATCATCATCAGCATCATCATCAGCATCATCGTCATCATCATCAGCAGCAGCCTCATCACCATCATCATCATCAGCAGCATCATCAGCATCGTCATCAGCGGTTTCGTCAGCATCATCGTCATCGTCGTCATCAGGCAGCATCGTCATCATCAGCATCAGCATCAGCATCATCAGCAATAGCACCATCAACATCATAATCACCATAAGCATCAGACTAGTCAGCATCGTCATCATATGTATCAGCATCGTCATCAGCATCATCAGCATGAGCATCAGCATCAACAGCATCAGCATCATCAGCAGCATGATCAGCATCATCATCATCAGCATCATCATCATCAGCAGCACCATCATCGTCATCATCATCTTCCTCCTCCTCCTCCTCCTCCTACACTCCTCTTACTCCTCCTCGTATTCCTCCTCATCGTATTCCTCCTCCTCTTCCTCCTCCTTCTCCTCCTCCCCCTCCGCCTCCTCCTCCTCCTCCGCCTCCTCCTCCTCCTCCTGCGCCGCCGCCGCCTCCACCTCCGCAGCCGCCGCCGCCGCCGCCGCCGCATCCGCCTCCGCATCCGACTCCGCCTGCGCCGCCGCCGCAGCCGCCGCTTCCATCTCGACATCCTCTCCGTTTCTTCTTCTTATTCTGCTCATCATTATTCTCATTGGTATTAGATTATGATTCGTATTACGATAATATCAGTATTATTCTTATGAATAGTGTTATTATTACTAGTACTACTACTAGGTGTTATTACTAGTTGCAGTAGTAATAATAGTTTTCGTATCATTCGTATTGTTCATATTAGTCTTATTATTATTAGTAGTGTTATCATTAGTCGAATGTTTATTATTCTTCATAGTCTCATTAATATCATGATTAACCGTAGTAGTATGATGCTTCTTTTTACTCTTACTAGACAACATGATTCGGACGTCTTATTATCAGTATTATTAGCGTATTATTATTGTTTATATGATTAGTGCTATTAGTATGAGTAGTACTCGTCTTAGTAATAGTTGTGCTTATTATTATTAGTATTAATGTTCGTCTTCGTAAGTTTATTATTACTCGTGCTCGTCTTCTTCTTATGCGTATTGGTGTTATTCGCATTAGTCTTCGTATTATGATTACGTTCACTTGTCTTCGTAGTAGTATGCGTATCCTTCTTCTGATTATCCGTCCTCTTATTAATATTGCTCCTCCTCCTCATCATCATCATCCTCCTCCTCCTGTTCCTGTTCCTTATCCTCCTCCTCTTCCTCCTCCTCTTCGTCCTCCTCCTCCCCCTCCTCCCCATCCTCCTCCTCCTCCTCCTCCTCCTCCTCCTCCTCCTCCTCCTCCTCCAGCTCCGCCGGCGCCGCCGCAGCCGCCTCCGCCTCCGCCTCCGACTCAGCCTGCACCGCCGCCGCAGCCGCCGCCTCCAACTCGGCCTCCGCCTCCCTCTCCGCCTCCGCCTCCGCTTCCGCCGCCGCGCCTCCACCTCCGCATCCGCCTCCGCCTCCTCCTCCCTCCTCCCTCCTCCTCCTCCTCCTCCTCCTCCTCCTCCTCCCTCTCCTCCTCCTTCCTCCTCCTCCTCCTCCTCCTCTCCTCTCCTCTCCTCCTCCTCCTCCTCCTCTCCTCCTCCTCCTCTCCTCCTCCTCCCCCTCCTCCTCCTCCTCCTCCTCCGCCGCCGCCTCCGCCTCCGCAGCCGCCGCCGCCGCCGTCGCCGCCGCCGCCTCCGCCTCCGCCTCCGACTCCGCCTCCGTCGCCGCCGCAGCCGCCGCCTCCAACTCGGTCTCCGCCTCCCTCTCCGCCTCCGCCTCCGCTTCCGCCGCCGTCTCCGCCTCCGCCTCCGCCTCCGCTGCCGCTTCCGCCTCCTCATCTTCCTCCTCCTGCTCCTCCTCCTCCTCCTCCTCCTCCTCCTTCTCCTCCTCCTCCGCCTCCTCTTCCGCTCCCGCTTCCGCTTCCTCTTCCTCTTCCTCTTCCGTTTATGTTTCCTCTTCCTCCTCCTCCTCCTCCTCCTCCTCCTCCTCCTCCTTCTCATGTTCCTGTTCCTGTTCCTGTTCCTCCTCCTCCTCCTCCTCATCCTCCTCCTCCTCTTCGTCCTTCTCCTTCCCCTCCTCCTCCTCACCCATTCCTTCTCCTTATCAATAACTCCCCCCTGGCGCACCCCGAGGCCAGTTTGTACGGCGGGCTGGGCGTTTCGCTTGAGACTTCCTCACCATTCATGTCCCTGAAGCTTCAAAATTAACAACAGTTTCACAGGTGAGGGCGGGATCGTTTTCAAAATTTGGCTCTCGCCTTAGCGCCGCGCACATGCGCTTTGAAAATGTGCAGAACTTCAACGGATTCAGGGCGTGTGGTTTTCAAAATGTGGCTCTCGCCTTAGCGCCGCGCACATTCGCTTCAAGCATTGGCAAGAGTTTCACGGATTGAGGGCGGTTATTTCTCAAAATGTGACTGTCGCCTTAGCGCCGCGCACATTCGTTTCAAACAGTTGCAAGAGTTTCACGGATTCCCATGATCGGCGAATTAGAAATGGTGTTGTGGAAGGATTCCGGATTCCGTGGGTGCAACAATTACGTTGATTCGCGGCGTTGAATTCCCAGGAATGGCGTTCTGGCGCGATTCAAGATCGTCAAGACGCAACAGTCAGGTCGATACGTGGCGTTAGAATCCCGACAAGAGTGTTTTGGCATGCTTCAGGGTCTTCAAACGATTGTCTTCCAACGAGGCAGTTCCCTCAGTGGAAATGAGCCCTTGTAAGGGACTGTGAAGAGGGAGCTTGAAGGGAGGATGAATTCCAACATCGTTGATGGCTCTTGGGTTT